CATGACAGAAATAATCTTAAAAAAAAAAAAAAAAAAAAGCCTGAAAGGGCCCCAAGTTTGTTATGGCTACAAACCCAGCGACAACTCAGAATGAAAGGGACAGGGTCCTAAAGCAGCGAGGTGCCCCAAAACATTTTTGCTGCAAGCCAAACCTTTTCTTTGCTGTCTAATAATGCAGATATCCGAGGACTGGAGGAGGAGCGGTAGATAGAAGGAGTCTTGTCCCTGTGCCTCTCTCGAGTGGCAGCCACTTCACACAGCATGGTGGCCGGTCTTGCGGAGCCCCAGCCGCCACGACGAGGGGGACTCATCCTTCTGCTCCTCTGACTTGCTGAGCCAACTGAACTGCAGAGGAGAAAAAGGGACATTTGGAAGAAGTAAGAGCACTGCAAGGCACAGTCTAAGTTCTGAACGTGCTTCAGCAAGCCCCAGTTTTTGCTGGGCTACACTTGTAAGATGGAGGGACCTTGATTTGCTGCTTAGCTTTAATTACAGGACTTTGCATCCTGGTGAGTTCACCTTGAGCTAACTAATCTAGTGCCCTCATCCCCAAGGACAGAGGATGAAAGAAATCCTGTGTCACTGTCCAGGTCCCTTTGCCTGCACAACACCCTCCTCCAGCTTTGCAGAAAGAATAGAAGGGACAATGAAGCTTTTATTTGCATCATTTAGGAAGGGGGAATTATTCATTAAAGACAGAAAACAAAACAAAAAAAGGAATTGACTCTTTTGAGACTAGCTACAAATAAAACCCTTACACAGATCAAACTGGACAGAGTCCAGGAGAAGGCATTAAGATCATCAGGGAGCTGGAGCACACAGCACTAAATGACCTGGCTTGTTTAGTGCAGAAAAAAGAAGGCAAAGAAAGTATTTACTTGCTCTGCTGCTCTGGGGGTGGGGTTTGCAGGATATAGGGAAGCAGAGTTGTTCTCAGTGGTCTGCAGTGACAGGAGGAGGAACAGACAAGTTCCAACGTGGGAAATCCCAAGTGACATGAAGGAAGACACACTTCTGGGTAGGAGAGATGCTGCACTGGGACAGGGAGCAGGAAGGGGGGGTGTGTGTCTCCATCCTCAGAGACTTTTTAACACTCAGGTGAGCTCAGGTAGTTCAACGAAATGTGACACGGGCTTGAAGTTGGCCCTGCTTCCAGCAAGAGGCTGGACTACAGGCTTGCAGAGGCCCCTTCTGGCTTAAACCCTTCCATGGTCAGATAACTGCATAATCTATGCACATACCACAGAGGGAGCTTCGTGCTTTTTGTTACATAAGGCACTCCTGACAAGCATTTATTATTCCTTAAGAATTAGAGTGATCAAGTCTTACAAAAAGATGCCTACAGACATTCAGGAATGGAGCCTGGGCACTGCAAGAGACTTCTACAAAGACAGGGGTTCAACACCAAGTTATATAGGAAATAAAGCAAACAAGACTTGAGGCATTCTTGGCAAAGAACAGAATACAAAACACAACACCATTATCCCTCTGTGTTCCTGCTGGGTACAACCACACCTTTGGTACTATGCACAGCTCAGCTCCACAGCCCAATGGCAGCACAGGAGAAGGGGAAGAGATTCAGAGAAAGGCAACATGAAAGAGTAGAGCATGAGAGCTTTTGTGTGAGGAGTTATTCAGTGTATCAGGAATCTCCAGGCTGAGATATGATCAAGGTACCCAAAATCCTCTGCAGCACATGGAATAAGGATCAATTATTCCTTGTTCCTTCCCCTAAAGGAACTGGGGGCAGCAAAGGAAGCCAGCTTGTGGCAGGCTTAAAGAAACAGGTGCCTAAAGCTCTGCATAATATGGAATTAAGCTGAAGAACCCTTTGCCAGTGGACATTATAGGATCCCAAACACATGGGCACTCCAAAAGTGATTGCATAAATCATAGAGGAAAAGTCTAACAAGGGGTACTGAATGCAAAGAAGTACTACAGCTTCAGCATGTCCCTGAAATGTAAATTGCTAGAAGGTGGGAGATAAGTCCAGCTAGATTCTGTCTTCTCTAGTGTCTTTTGCTGGTCACAGTCAAGGGCAGGATGCTGGGGCAGACAAGGCTTTTGGTCAAAGCTGATATAAGCATCATTATACCATATTCTACATAATACAAAACATCTGACATTATCCAGGATAAACTGAGCTACTGAGAAGCTCTGCCCTCAAACTTACTGATTCAAGACTGCAAAGATAAAATTATCACTGCAGTATTTTAGCAGTGTTTCTTAGCTAGTGTTATTTTAAGGCAGATGCACAGAGTTAATCTTGTGTACACCTGTAATTCTGGCACTTCCAGTCTACTGAGCTACACAGCTCTAGTCCTTGACTGCAGTTTTGACATTTCCCTCAGGGAAAGCTCAAACCCATAGGAAAAGCTCCTGCCTGTAAGTTCTGAGCAACATACAGCAAATATTAACGACCCCACCAATGGAGGGCAACACAAGCACTCATGTTTTCCCAGATAAAACCCAATCTGACAAAGAGTTACAGAAGAATCAAACATGTAAGAGAACCGGTCTTGCGGAGCCCCAGCCGCCACGACGAGGGGGACTCATCCTTCTGCTCCTCTGACTTGCTGAGCCAACTGAACTGCAGAGGAGAAAAAGGGACATTTGGAAGAAGTAAGAGCACTGCAAGGCACAGTCTAAGTTCTGAACGTGCTTCAGCAAGCCCCAGTTTTTGCTGGGCTACACTTGTAAGATGGAGGGACCTTGATTTGCTGCTTAGCTTTAATTACAGGACTTTGCATCCTGGTGAGTTCACCTTGAGCTAACTAATCTAGTGCCCTCATCCCCAAGGACAGAGGATGAAAGAAATCCTGTGTCACTGTCCAGGTCCCTTTGCCTGCACAACACCCTCCTCCAGCTTTGCAGAAAGAATAGAAGGGACAATGAAGCTTTTATTTGCATCATTTAGGAAGGGGGAATTATTCATTAAAGACAGAAAACAAAACAAAAAAAGGAATTGACTCTTTTGAGACTAGCTACAAATAAAACCCTTACACAGATCAAACTGGACAGAGTCCAGGAGAAGCCATTAAGATCATCAGGGAGCTGGAGCACACAGCACTAAATGACCTGGCTTGTTTAGTGCAGAAAAGAGAAGGCAAAGAAAGTATTTACTTGCTCTGCTGCTCTGGGGGTGGGGTTTGCAGGATATAGGGAAGCAGAGTTGTTCTCAGTGGTCTGCAGTGACAGGAGGAGGAACAGACAAGTTCCAACGTGGGAAATCCCAAGTGACATGAAGGAAGACACACTTCTGGGTAGGAGAGATGCTGCACTGGGACAGGGAGCAGGAAGGGGGGGTGTGTGTCTCCATCCTCAGAGACTTTTTAACACTCAGGTGAGCTCAGGTAGTTCAACGAAATGTGACACGGGCTTGAAGTTGGCCCTGCTTCCAGCAAGAGGCTGGACTACAGGCTTGCAGAGGCCCCTTCTGGCTTAAACCCTTCCATGGTCAGATAACTGCATAATCTATGCACATACCACAGAGGGAGCTTCGTGCTTTTTGTTACATAAGGCACTCCTGACAAGCATTTATTATTCCTTAAGAATTAGAGTGATCAAGTCTTACAAAAAGATGCCTACAGACATTCAGGAATGGAGCCTGGGCACTGCAAGAGACTTCTACAAAGACAGGGGTTCAACACCAAGTTATATAGGAAATAAAGCAAACAAGACTTGAGGCATTCTTGGCAAAGAACAGAATACAAAACACAACACCATTATCCCTCTGTGTTCCTGCTGGGTACAACCACACCTTTGGTACTATGCACAGCTCAGCTCCACAGCCCAATGGCAGCACAGGAGAAGGGGAAGAGATTCAGAGAAAGGCAACATGAAAGAGTAGAGCATGAGAGCTTTTGTGTGAGGAGTTATTCAGTGTATCAGGAATCTCCAGGCTGAGATATGATCAAGGTACCCAAAATCCTCTGCAGCACATGGAATAAGGATCAATTATTCCTTGTTCCTTCCCCTAAAGGAACTGGGGGCAGCAAAGGAAGCCAGCTTGTGGCAGGCTTAAAGAAACAGGTGCCTAAAGCTCTGCATAATATGGAATTAAGCTGAAGAACCCTTTGCCAGTGGACATTATAGGATCCCAAACACATGGGCACTCCAAAAGTGATTGCATAAATCATAGAGGAAAAGTCTAACAAGGGGTACTGAATGCAAAGAAGTACTACAGCTTCAGCATGTCCCTGAAATGTAAATTGCTAGAAGGTGGGAGATAAGTCCAGCTAGATTCTGTCTTCTCTAGTGTCTTTTGCTGGTCACAGTCAAGGGCAGGATGCTGGGGCAGACAAGGCTTTTGGTCAAAGCTGATATAAGCATCATTATACCATATTCTACATAATACAAAACATCTGACATTATCCAGGATAAACTGAGCTACTGAGAAGCTCTGCCCTCAAACTTACTGATTCAAGACTGCAAAGATAAAATTATCACTGCAGTATTTTAGCAGTGTTTCTTAGCTAGTGTTATTTTAAGGCAGATGCACAGAGTTAATCTTGTGTACACCTGTAATTCTGGCACTTCCAGTCTACTGAGCTACACAGCTCTAGTCCTTGACTGCAGTTTTGACATTTCCCTCAGGGAAAGCTCAAACCCATAGGAAAAGCTCCTGCCTGTAAGTTCTGAGCAACATACAGCAAATATTAACGACCCCACCAATGGAGGGCAACACAAGCACTCATGTTTTCCCAGATAAAACCCAATCTGACAAAGAGTTACAGAAGAATCAAACATGTAAGAGAAGATAAAGTCTCCCATCTTGAGTGACTGAGGTCAAATTAATAACTGCTGTTAGTAATTATTAACAGGCCCTCCTCTATACCTTAAGGGCCTTATTCTGGGTTAAACAGCTCAAATGAGTGAGAACAATTCTCTGCAGCTGGGAAATGGTTAACTGAAGTGCTCAGACTTCACAGCCTCCTTGTACCTTTAACAATTCCCTGCTAAGTCAGCCTGAGCTGAACAATACCCAGAGGAGCTCGATTTCACTTCATCTGGATGAGAAGTTACACTTAGCAGCATGTAAAAAAAAATAAAATAATAATACCTGTGACTAAGCAAGAAACATTTTCCTTCTAACATGTTCCTAGTGCTCCAGCCTCTGGCAAGGTGCCTGCACTGTAGAGCTGTCCCTTATATTCTGGTGCGAGAAGAAACCAGAAGCATAAGACACCAGTTCTGAGCAGAACAGAGTCTCCTGGTGCCATCTAGCTGAGTGACGTGAGAGCTGGAGAATTCAGATAAGATTTCAGTAACTCTGCTTCACCTTTAAAAAGCTTTCCCAGCCTGGCTATCTAGACAGAGGCAAACTTTATCCTCTCTGCTCACTGGGCTGTAACATCATGCCACTGAATCAGCTGAGTTTGCCAAGTCAGAGGCACTTCAGCTGATGATGCCAAAGGCCCTGCTGATCCATCAGGAGGGCCCAGCTCTGGTGAGAGATCTCCTGCTGGTCAGAGATTGGCATTGACCATCTCAGGACTGACAGTGACACAACGCACTTGCAGTAAGAAGGTTTCTCTTGTGAACAGAGCAATTTGCTTCAGAGGCAGGAACCTCACTGCAGAAACATCCTCCTTTGTGCCAGTTCTATCCTGTTGTTAACACAGCATCTTGATCAAAAGTGCAGATACCATGCTTTCCTAAATTCACATCTTAAACTCTGAAAACCAGTTTCAGAGCATTCATTTCCCAGAAAAACCTCCTGCTTTCAAGATCTGCTGGAGTCCCCATTGATTCCAAATTCACTTACTCTTCTGGCAGATGCAGTGAAGGAGTTGGGCTCGGGTGGTGGTATTTGCTCAGTGATGCTAGGCCTGGTTTCATGGCTGGAGTGGTTGGCAAAGGGCTCTTCCTTCCTCTCTACAATTTTAAACAAGAAGAGAAACCAAATTTTTCAGTATTGCACTTCCAAGGCCCTTCCTTACAAGCACAGTGTGCACTCCACTCAAGTTCAGTTGCTGTCACCTTGGCACACCTTAGATCCTAAAGATGATGTCAAGTGCCAAGGCCCACCTGGGCTTTCTGCAGGGAGCCTGGCTGCTTCCAGAAAAATCTGCTGGACACATTTGCCAGGCAAGGCTTTTGAACTTCATCCCCACAAGCAAAACCTTTGCAGAAAGCACATTAAGGAGGACAAACAGGTATTTTGTTTCCTCCCAGGAAAACACTCTGTGTTTTCACTCTCCTGTGAAACACTCAGGAAGGGAAGCAGAACACACCATTCCCATGGGTGTGCCTCACCAGGCCTGGAGAAGGCCTGGATTTCCTTGCACACTTCAGCTGCAGTTGCTTATGTTGGTGGGAAGAATTTCTGGTTTTCTACAGCAAAATCCACTTTTCTACATGAAGTTAGGACTGATTCCCAACAAAAAAAACTTTAACAGGGCTCAAAGCAAGCCAAGCAAACACTACTAAAGCTCCCAGCTGGCTCCCTCTTGTTAAGACAAGTGCAACCATCCAGTATTACATTTGTTTTGTATCTATACCCCATGCTTGACCTAAGAACCAGAGATTACCAGGGAGAGAGTAAGCAGAAGCTGTCTCAGGCAACAGGTTGAGCTGACAGGAGTGCACAGGGTTCTAAACCAGAGTGTTGGCCAAGCACAGCCACATGTGAGGTGCCTAAGGAATGAGGTACCTACACCAAGAGAACAATGTTTTCCTCTCACAGCTGTGAGTGCCTCACACAGTCATGGCTCTGGAAAAACAAAGTAATTTGAAGTCTAACCAGCCAAACAGTTCTAGCAAATGAGGTATATGCAGTGAATAAGGATCTCCTGTTACATATAAAAAGCAGTTTGGTGTGGAGCATCTGTGAGGATGGTACCTTGCAGCATGATGATCAATCTCTCTGAAACAAATGTTCTCACACCTAGAATAAAGGATTCAAAGGACACAGAAAACAGCAAGCCAAGAGAAACATTTAAAAACAGAAGGCAGTTAAGCAGGACTGACAGAGTCAGAATTTATGAGACAAAGATGCACCTCCCATAGGAAGGTCTGCATGATACTGAAATCTCAGCCACCTTTCACAGAATTGTGGAATGATTTGGGTTGGAAGGGACCTTAAATACCATCTAGATCCAACCCCTTGCATGGGCAGGGACCCCTCCCACCAGCCCAGGCTGCTCCAAGCCCCATCCAACCTGCCCTTCAACACTGCCAGGGATGGGGCAGCCACAGCTTCCCTGGGCAACCTGGGCCAGGCTCTCACCACCCCCACACCAAAGAATTCCCTCCTCATGTCCAACCTCAATCTCCCTCTTCTATTTTTAATCCATCCCCCCTGTCCCATCTCTCCCTGCCCTTGTCCCAGATCCCTCCCCAGCTTTCCTGTAGGCCCCATCTCATCTCAGAAGTTCCAGCAAAGGAATCTAAACAGAGTAGTTCACTTCTTGAGCCTAACAGGAAGACTCATTATACTTCCAAACAGCCCATTTGGAAGAGTCAGTAGATGACTTCTTGCAGGCCTGACTTGCCATTCAGCAGGTCAGGGAAATGTGTACAGACAAAAAAAAAATATTATATGCTTGCCCTTTGTTGACTTCCTGAGAGTGAAGCCTGGAAACCACAGGAGAATCCCTGACACGCCAGCTAGGGGAGAACAGACCTGACCCAACAGCCAGGCTGGGCCAGGTGGGGACTCATGGCCCATTCTGGAAGTTTATAGCACATGGGTCAACTTTAAAGGTCAAGCCTAATTACAAGGGCACAAACGTAAGTGGTAATGACAGGTTGGAAAGAACTTAACTGTGAGCAGTGTGACTGAAGGAGTCAATTGCAGGAGAGGGACAGGGAGAAGCACCTTGTGCTGGCAGCAAGAGAGGCTGCTGGACCACAGGTACTGTCCTTAGGGGAGGATCCTACATTTTGTTTTACTCCAGGTTCAGCAATAAGCATTATGAATTCCCATTAGCTCAGCTTCTCTAAACCAATTCAGTTAGACTGAAAATTCACTTCTCTAACTTAGCATATTGTTCTTCTTCAGAGCTTTTTGGGGAGTGTCTTTTTTGTTTTAGTTTGTTTTTTTCAAGCACTGCTTGTTTCCCTCACCTTCTTTCATTCACAATAATTACCTATTGCAATAGTTACCAGCACAGATAATGACCATACAATTTCATACTGATTTTTTTCTTGTTTATATAGAACCCAAAGCCAAATTGTTAATTGTCCTCAAGATGAAAAAAAAAAAGGCATTACTGCATTTAGCTTCTTTTGTTTGAAGAACAACAGTTTCTTACAGATTGTAAGAAAGAAGGTCCTCTCTGAGCCACTCCAACAATTTCACTGCTCACCTCTCCAAATTTCTTCTCCTCTGACAGTCTCTGCAAATACCACAAACTCATCATAACCTGAGCTCCTTCAAAATAAACTTCTGTATCATCCTGCCAAGTCCTATTTTGTCCCACCTTATTCTCAGTTACCAAAGGAAATAATTTTTATTATTTAAGATCACTCATAACAACATTTTGGATTTTTTTTTTTCTGTCATCAGAACTTGGAACACTTTAGGACAACAAGTTGTCTTTCATCTGTCCAGCACTGCTTAGAATTACAAAGCTCTGTGAATATTAAATCTCAGATGAAAGTGAAGGAAATAATAATGAACAAGTAATTTACATGTTTTCAAACCCATGCCTCCTGTATCCATCCAAGCACTTTAAGTATCTAGCAGATAAAAAAGAATAATTGGCCTTAAGATTGTGTGTGAAACTAGTAATACTGTGATGTTTATAATTTTCTTTGACAAGCTGTTTTCATCCATACTTCTCCAGAGTCCTCCTGGCACATGAGAGCTGATGCTGTTATCTCATGAACTTTGTTTTAAAGGGAGTATTGAAAATGCGCACCCCACTCACATAAGCAATAACTGGCAACTAAATCCACATCCAGCTGGACAAGTTCATGGTCATTTCATTAGAGATTTTAGAGGTTCACCAGGTCAGGTTTCCATTCTGATTGAAATTTCTCAAAGGAACCAATAATCTCCTCCCTTGGGAAAGGAGAGCACAGGTAACAAAGCCTGAAGCTCCAGGCTTCATCATGACTTGAATGCTTTTTGTCTTTCATTTGTTTTAGCTTTAGTGGTTTGAAATATATTAATATTATGTGCTTTGCTGAGTGATTTAATTCAATAAGATGATCTGCTCTGGCTTTGCAGAGAAACGAAAGCCAATTGCTGTAGCACTTGCCTTGCTGAAGGGTCTTCTGCTGTTCCTGGATCAGTTCAACATCACCTGCCTGCACTTCTCACAGATACACAAAGGCCAGAGGAGTTTGGTCAAGTGTCCCTCCATGTTTACAAGAAGTGGCACCTTGCTGGACATGGCTGCTGTCTAGTAAAACCCTGATTTATGGAGCAAATAAACATGTCTTCTACTGCATGTCTGTTTCCACCACTGACTTCTCTGCTACATTTACTTGATTTAAAAGCCTAAAGACTATTTCGCAGTGTTGCTGTTGCATCAAAACAACTTCTGCAACTACCAGCTCTGCAAAGACCAGCCAGGGCTCTCAGCACCTCTGATACTGTGATAAACAATTAGAACACAGGTGACAATTTTACTGGCAGAAAAAGCAGGAGAAAACCTAAAACTACACTTCTCTGCAAGGACTGACTTCCTAGCACACTGGGATACAGGCCAAGTAACCTGATGTTAAAAGTAGTCTAACCACTAGACACATCATAGTCCAAGATCCAGCTCTCTTTGCAGAAATATTAAATACAAGTAAGTCTTGGCTTACTGTAAAATTAAGTCTCATTATTTAAACTGTGCTGCACATATACACTGTTTAAATTAATTAAGGAAGACTTAGAACTTGTGGGAAAAAAAATGAGATTGAAATGAAGGAAGCAGGAAGCCAGCAACATGCTATAATGCAAAGACTAATGTGACTATGTACTTAATCCTTGTTTTCCACTTCAGCCCTTCATTTCATCTCTCCAACCCAAACACAACAGGCTGTGACCTTCCTACTTGTTCAATTACATTTCTACCATCTCACACTAACCAAAGTGTTGATCCTGAAATTGGCCAATGAGGAAAAAACCTACTATTGAAGAACAACCTGTGAACAATGTGTAACCTTACATTCAAGTGAGCTGGAAGTAGAAATTAAAATACTACCTGCACTTTTATTTTGGAAAAATTATGCTGACTTAGGAGTCAGCATTTAGGTCAGCTTTTTTAGTAAACTAGTCAGTGAGCTCACCATTTCCTACTCATATGCACTGAAGTAAGACTTCTAGGATGGCTTTAACAACTAAGCAACAAAAAAATATCTTCAAATTGACCCATAATATTGCTTGGGTAATTATTAAGCCAAAGACTGTGCTAAGTCTCACCTGACTCCTTTTCAACATCTGATTCTGAAACTTCATCTTCAGCTTCTTCCTCTTCTTCTGAACTAGAACTGCTTGAGTCCTTGTTCTCATCCTCCATTTCCACGGACTTCAGTGTGTCTTCCTCATAAAGAATCTTCTCTTTGCTGCAAGAAACAGAAATTTTAAGAACTGCCAGATGATGGAATTATTTCTGAGTTCTGCTTCTCAAAAACACAATTTGTAACATAAAGTAAAAGCACAAAATCCATCCACAGACTAAACCCCAGCACTTCCAGCACTGCCCATTTGCCATGGATTCCAATGCCAGTCTCACATTTCCTAAATTTGCAAGCATTTCTCAGTCCCAAACAACGTGGTGTCTCTTTTCCCAGTGCAACACAACCCACCATGGCTCTGTGCACCTGCACAGAAGCAGTTCTCAGCCGGGTATGCTAAGACACAGCTAAAATTGTATTTGAGAGAGCCCAAATTTAAAAGAAACCATGAAGTGAACATGAGCAGCAGTGAACTTTTTCTAATCCAGCTGAGGCCAGCTGACAGATGAAGTTGGCCTCCCACTGCACTCTGTGCAGCTTCTTTTCAACAACAAGGAAAGAAACATACTTGGGGAAGAGTCCACTCTGGGGCTTCCCGTTCATGTCGGCTTCAATGAGCTTGTTCCTTGTCTCCTTCTCACTTCGCAACTGTCCAGAAGTTCCAGGAAATTGGAAAAATAATTAAGAGACACATCTTAAAAGTCATCGCAGCACAACCCACATATTACCACAGCATGCAGTCATCCCAACATAATTAAATGAAAACTACTTGAACTTGTTTAACAAGCCAAGTCAATGGATGCGCATCTGCAAGAGCACTGGCTGTCTTGGCAAGAGCTCCATGGGGCAGAGCTGCACAGCCAGCATGGCCATAGACTCAAGCTGCAACTTAATAAAACCTTCAGAAGTCTGCAGCTGTCATAGAATCATCACATCCTCTTGGTTGGAAAAGACCTTCAGGATCATCCAGACCAACCATTAAGCCTGCGCTGTCAAGGCCACCCATGTCCCTCAGCACCACATCTACAGGGCTTTGAAATCCCTCCAGGGATGGGGACTCCACCAGTCCCCTGGGCAGCCTGGGCCAGGCCCTGACAACCCTTTCCAGGAAAAAATTGTTCCCAAGGTCCAACCTAAACCTCCCCTGGCACAACTTGAGGCCATTTCCTCTTGTTCTATCCCTTGTTCCTTGGGAGCAGAGCCCGACGCCCCCCGGCTCCAATCTCCTCTCAGGCAGCTGCAGAGCCAGCAGGTCTCCCCTCAGCCTCCTTTGCTCCAGGCTGAGACCCAGAGTCAAGTCCAACTTCCCCAGTACTGCCCAGCATCTGCTCATGCAGACACAGTGCTGGAGGTCTGGCTGCACGTGTCTGTGTGTCCATGAAATCAGGCTCAACTCTGTTCAAAACGTGCTGCCTCTGCAGCCATCAGAGCATCCAGGTGTGCCCTGTACAGGCAACCTATGGATCTCCCACGAGGACAGGTCACCTCAGAGATCTCTCAAAGGTCAGCACGAATCATCACACAACAACACCTGCCATCACCCCAGCAATGGAAATACTTTGCCCAGAGAGCAGCAAGAGGAATTTTGTCAGCATTGATGAGAAAAACTGTTACCAAAAAATAGTTTCATGAAAAAGGGATGGCAATTAGAGGCTCACTTTTAAGGCTGGCTTTTTTGTGTCACATCTAGCTCAGTTATTCTCTCTCTTTTGATAGGAGCTGACATGAGGCACAATAAGCAGAAGCTCTGTGAGTTTTGAATGTGGGAAAAGCTACATGGAGTCCAGCAAAGCCAAAATTTAGGATAGAGCATGTCTTTAAATAGAAGAGCCTGCTGGGGCAAGCAAAAGGTGTGCAGGAAACAGCCTGCTGGACTCAAAGGTAACTCAGAGATTGGGGAAAAAAACCCAAGCCCAAATCAAATTAATTGCTTCCAGCAAATAAAATCCCCTCTTCTCTCTGATAACAGCAGCAATTCTGTCAGCAAGGATGGCAAAGTGTTCAGTTACAGGCAATAGATTAAAAATAAATCTGATTTGAGAGCCATTTTGAAAGTAAAATAAGGTACTTGGGAGGGATGTCATGGAACTGCCTATTTCATCCTCAACAAAGGTTTAGGTTTCTTTTTTAAGTGATAAAAGCAGCACATGAGAAACACATGATGAAATGGAATTGCTATAAAAATATCGTGTCCACTAAAAAATAAAAGTGTGAGAAAATCTGGAAAATTCCCAGTTCTCCTCTAGCTTTTAGCACTACTCTAATAAATGGGGAGGGCCTTTATATAGTGCTGCTATCTAGAGAACAAAGGGGTCTGCTGGCCCCTGTGAAACCAGCCAGCACCCTCCAAACCCCATTCCTGTTGTCTTTTTTAGTTTCCTTTTCTTCTGAGGAGTGCAGTTGTCTGCAGAGTCCTGGTGTGGTGAGATGGGAGGAAATCCAAAATCCAACCCTGATAGTATTTATCAACACCTCATTCAGGGAGAAGCTGATTAATTTTTGAGAAGTTTCTGTGAATGTTAAGGAGGCTATTTCAGGATGAGAGCAGCTGTGTTATGAGCAGAGCTTGAGTTTTACCACCCACATTTCAGTTCCTCAAAATACTTTACTGGGTTTTATCAATGTTCTCATTATGTTTTGTTTCTGAATCCAACATTTCAAATTATACTTTCTAATGTATTTATTTATTTTATACAGGATTGGGTGTTTTTTTGGAAGCACCCAAATGAGATAATTGTGTAGACCAGATGAAATAGGAAAAAAATGCAATTAAAAAGCAAAACAAACTTTCTAGATTGACAACTGGCTTCACTTGGATCAAGATATATTTTTGCTTTCCTTTTTCATGCCAGCTTTCTGCTTACAACCCCTTCCAGTATTTCCATTGCATTATAAAATGGCAATTTAATATGGTTTTGAAAGACCCAATTCTTTTAGTCCAGAATTCCCTGAAGTTTTAAATTTCTTCTCACTCAATCAGAAGTCTCTCTATTGTAAGAAGGGCAGACATAGTAACAAATCTCTTTCTCAACAGACAGCTTATTTCCTTAGATGCAAACACAAAGTTGACTTGAGTAATCACTCATGAAGAAAAGAGGAGTTTGATGCTAGAGAGCTTGCCAGCCAACAGAGCAACTACAGGATGGAGAATTCCAAAGGTGACCTATACATTCCTTACCAGTTTACATAAATGTCAGCACTCTACTGAACTTCTTGATAGTCATCTAGGTTTGTAGTTTTCTAGCTATTAAAACTACTGGTGCAATTAAAAATTCCAAATGACTAACATAAAAAACACAACTGGGCCTTAGCTTCATGTGCTTGTTGACACCAGATGTCTCAGGGAACACTCGTGCGTGAAAAGGTGACTGGAGAGGTGGAAAACCATGTGCCAGAAACTCACCACAGTCTGTTTCTTCTGCAGCATTTCTAAATGCTCAACCAGTCCCTCATCAGCCACGTCGAACGGCGTCTGGCCCTGATGTGGTGAGAGAAGACAAGAGGATCTCTGATGAAGTGTGGTGCCAATATTCAAAAAAAGCACCATTTACCAGTGAGAGCAGAAGTGAACCTGTGCCACATCCTCCCTCCCCAAATGCTGGTCAACTCACCCCATTTCACACCAGAGTAGGTAAAGCCATGGCCAGTGATGATGGATTTTATGACCCACCCGTGATCAGAGCAGCCTTAATCATGGAAGTGACCAACCTGAGCAACCTGGTCTGGTGGGAGGTGTCCTTTCCCTTGCAGAGGGGGCTGGATCTAGCTGATCTTTAAGGGCCCTTCCAACCATTCTATGACATTATCTCTCCTGCCTCACTCCCTAGGCCTGTCCCATTTCCTCCTCTAGCTGCAGCCAAGGTAGAACTGACCCAGCTCACAGGCACTGCCTGGGCACCGCAGCACAGAGGGGAACCCTGGACAAGCACACACCAGCTCTTGAAAATCTGGAGGCTCTTTTGGAATAACTTCTAACTATCAGGATGGATCCCATTTTTCTTAACTAATTTCTCACAAATCTGAGTGAATTTTTCAATTTTCCTTTTTATGATCAATACAGTAGAAACAGAAAAATTCAGAGCTGCCAGTTTCTTGAAGGTTCACTAGTTTTCTGTGCCTTATACCCTAACATTAGCATCATATTTTGCACTCCAAGGCTGTCTTTGTTGATGATGTTGCTCAGAATTACACTAAAACAGGAAGACAGAGGCCCCCATCCTTTCTTAAAATCTTGGTCCTAAAGTTTAATCTCTCATCCTTTCCACTAATACTTGAAATCTCTTCTGCCTTACTCCTGCCAAGAGACATTATTTTCTGATGCCTTCATGGCTCCAGTGCACAGGCCAGAAGAACTGCTACTCACCTCTCAACCCTGTCATGGCATTGGATAGAATCATAATTTTTTTCAGGTGGAAAAGACCTGTAAGATCACCCAGTCCAACCTTTAACCTAATTCTGCTACACTAGCTCTACTAAACCATGTCCCTAAGAACCATATTGATGCAATTTGTAAACACATTCAGGGATGGTGATTCAACACATCCCTGAGCAGCCTGTTCCAGAGCTTGATAACCCTTTCTGTAGAGGAGTTTTTCCTAATATCCAACCTAAACCTGCCCGGGCAACTTGAGGCCATTTCCTCTTGTTCTATTGCTTGTTACTAGTGAGAAGAGACTGACCCCTTCACTCCACTCTCCTTTCAGGGAATTGTAAGGAGTGAAAAGGTCTCCTCTCAGCCTCCTCCTCTTCAGACTAAACACCCCCAGTTCTCTCAGACACTTCTCACAAGGTTTGTTTTCCAGACCCTTCACCAGCTTGGCTGCCCTTCTCTGGACCCACTCCAGCACCTCCATATACCTTTCCTGTATTGAGGTGCCCAAAACTGAACACAGTACTCGAGATGCAGATTAAGTGGTGGGCAAATATTGCTATTCATCTGCCTCTAAAATACATGGCATGAAATGTGCCAACATCTGTGCACACTAACCAGCTTGTTCCTGATGTCCATGTCACACAGAGCCTCAGCCAGGATGGAGCAAGCTTCCTTCACCCCCCAGTGTGCCGCAGCGTGCAGCGGAGTCCAGCCATCGTTGTCCTGGATGTTCAAATTAAACCCAGCCTGGATCAAGAGCCTGAGGAAAGAAGTGATAATGATCTCCTGCCCAGCCCAGAATGACTTCTCAACACAGGACAGTTCAGACTGGGAGCCACAGAGGAGGTAACACAATAAGCCAGTCTCTTAACTTATTTGCCCAAGCAACATCCCTGATGTGCTGGTGACACTTGGATAAAAGGGCAGTGAATGAAAAGTGACTTTGCTGTAAAACCTGCTGGAATGTGTCTAACTGATAAGGTTCCCTTTCAGCACGTCCTAAACTGGGAGAACACCTTAATTTCTGATCTAGCATCAGTGACCCAGTCTGAACACCTGCTCCAATGGACAAGGACACCAGGCATTAAGCAAACAAACAACTCTGCAGATGCCACCTCTGTAATGAGGAAACAAGCACAGAACCTGGCGTGAAAAGGACATTTGGTAACTGGAGCTCAGTCCTGGTTCTACCAGAGAACAAGGCAACACTGTAGGAACAGCCCAGACAATGCCAGCAGGACTGCCAGGTAAGAAGCAGTAACATTACTGTGGCTGACAGATGTGCAGTTTCTGAGTTACACAGCCCACGCTTGGTTTGAACAACCCCAAATGCATTTTTGCAGACTTGTCCTTGCACAGTGACAGCAAATCTTACCCACGTGAACCCGCCTGAGAACCTGGGAACACCCTCCCATTTACTGCTGGGCACTTTCCCTTCTCTGCAAGAGCAGAGCTCTCGTGTTGCATAGCATCTGGAGCTTGAATATTTAAACCCAAAACCAACAGAAGAGAGACAATTGTAGTCTGAAGCTTCAGAGACAGATGCACACTGGAACACCAGTGATCAGATCTGCGTACGGAACGGCTCGTGTATCAAAACTATTATCCAAGTTGCTTAAATATTTAAGAACATCCCAGGGGAATTCTGCAAGTCTGGTGAAACTGCCACTGAAAATTTCCCTCATGAGAAACTCCACCAGCCAGAGCCACGTTTCTGTAGCACAAGGGAAGCCCAGCAGGACACCAGGATGGCACCAACAATTTTGAAACTCCGGCAGCTTTACACCAATGCGTGACTGTGCTAAATTAAACACAGTCACCCTATAGCAGCAGTGTGCTCCTCTGGGAAAGAAATTTTAAATTAGGTGCTGACTTTATGTTGATTTTCCAGCTGGCAAAAGGGAGGCACATAGCTGCTAAGAGACTCAAGGTCACAGACCAATTCCATGTCTCATTTGAGTTAGCTAGCTCCTGGCTTTCAGCCCCTTTGCTTTAAGTCACGGAAGATTTGTAGTTCAATGGCCATAAAATACACAAGAGTGAAACAATGTCAGGTCTCTGTGAGATCTGTTTATCATTGTAACTATTAATGGCAAGGAGTAGCTGTCCAGAATCACCCTGTAAGCCATGGATGCAGCTTTCACTGCTGAGTGCTGGATATACAACCCTCCACTGAAAGTCCCACTGAAAGTCCATGGGACCAACACCTCAAATTCAGGAGATATTACATTTCTGTTCCACATGAGCTGTGTTAGATCAGTGTTCTTGGGCACGGTGCAGGCACAGACAGCTTGTAACTCAATTAGAAGCTCTAATGAATGAATACAAATAGGAAACATGGAGAACAACAAAATTACTAGAGCTTCATAAGAAACAGCTTGTACACATCAAGTCATGCCACTTAATACTATGAAATTAAGGATGAAGAGTGATAAACACCTGCAGAAATTATTTTAATGTGGTCAACAGAGTAACCCTGCTGATGTTTATGAGCAGCCCCACTCATACATAAAGAGAAGAAAGCTTTATTGTTGAAAATCTCAATTTGACATGTAAAAATATTAATGCTTTATTGCCAGGAAACACCACATTGGACAAGTTTATCTTCATAATGAGCTTGCTAGTGCCACAGCAGTAGAAGCAGGACTGTTAGGTGTTGGAGTCCCTCTGTCACTGCTGGCAGCCACAGCAGCAGCATTAAGGGGCAGAGAACAGTGGGATAGGGGAGGACACTGCATTTTTCCACCACATGGGTGGAAAACACTCTTGGGGTGTTTGTGATTGTCCTGTATTGTCACTTTGTTGGCTGAAATGATACTTTAACCCCTAATACTGTTTAACTTTTTAGTCCTAAAACTATTACTCTAAAAGTGAAAATTAAATCTTCTAATTTATGTCTTACTCTCAGAAAAGCTTTCATCACTTCAAGGCCTAAAGGTATGAAAGAGAATCTTCCCCAGGTACTTCTAGGTGAACCACTATGGTTGGGCATATCAATCTACAGAGCCTTTTGACAAGCATCAGCCTGAAAATCTCAGTATGAAGCAGATTTCTCCCAGTTATAAAGCTAGATGTGTTCCTCACAAAAACCCAGCTTTCACTCAGTGCATCAGCCCTGGGAAGAAGCTCCTACCTCATGACTTCAGAGTAGCCCTTGGCTGCAGCAACGTGCAGAGCGGTGGCGCCTGTTCGGGGCTGCTTTACATCTTCAATCCTCCCACTGTTCAACCACTGCCGGGCATCCTGCAGCATCTGCTGTTCCTCTTCTTTTCTTGCCAGGTCTAGGTCTACACCTATGAGGGTGAAGGACAGAAGAGGTCATCAAGTGAAAGCTCTCATGTGCTTGTCAAGCTTATTCCACGATTCATTTCCTATACAATATTAGTAAACTATTTGTAATCTTCCATGAAAAAAACAAAACATAGCAAAAGTATCTTGTAGGAGCTGGGAGAACTCCTGCATCATTGACAGAGACTTCAAAGCTGTCTGACTTTTAGGCCCCTCACTACAAGAAGGACACTGACTTGCTGGAGTGAGTCCATAAAAGAGCAACCAAGCTGGGGAAGGGTCTAGAGAACAAGCCCTGTGAGGAGAGGCTGAAGGAACTGGGATGGTTTAGTTTGGAGAAGAGGAGGCTGAGGGGAGACCTCATTGCTCTCTACAGCTCCCTGAAAGGAGGTTGTAGGGAGGTGGGAGTTGGGCTCTTCTCCCAGGTGAATAATGACAGGACCAGAGAAATGATCTGAAGTTGGGCCAGGGGAGGTTTAGATCTTTAAAGAGCAGTCAGGCACTGGCATGGGCTGCCCAGGCAGGTGGTGGACTCACCATCCCTGGTTGTATTAAAAAACACGTAGAGGTGGCACTTTAAGGCATGCTCTAATAGGCATGGGGGGTGGTGCTGTGCTGTTGTTTTGTTTTGTTGATTGGTTGTTTTGTGGGGTTTTTTTCCTTCCTGGGTGGGTGGTTGATCTTGGTGATCTTAGAGGTCTTTTCAACCATGACAATTCTGTGATTCTGTGCCTTAAAAAATCTGAAAGTTGAGCCACTGGTTGCAAATCAGCAACAAACTACCAGCTCAACTGTGAGCTACAGGTGGAAGGATTCTAAAAATGCAGTGTCCTGGATTGAGATAACCAAGTCATGAACAGCTTAACAAACTGAATTAAACTACAGTGAGAGTATAATCTACAGTGAAGACCTCAAGAGATGATCCTAAGACATCTGCTGCAAGAGCAGCACGACCCCATCTGTCTGCTCACTCCAAATTCAGTACAATCTGCAAGCTGTACATACAGAGATCAGTGCTGCACCAGAGCAAATCACTCCAGGCACCTTGAAATAGGTATTAGAGAGTTAATGCCACTGAGCAGCAAGCCACTAGTTCTGACAAAACATTTCTAAATAACTTTGGGGATAGAAGGTAAAAAAAAAATAAAATCTACTCTGATGGCTGAAGAGATCTGCTTGTAGATGAAGTCAGATCAAGTAAGTTCATCAATACACACACCTGGTATATCAGAGAGACAGGCTGTGGGGCTTTCTGATAACAAAAGAGACAAACTTCCCACCCCAGGAAACAACTGCTATGATGTGGGGAGGGAGGGTGGGTCTGGCTGACAGGTTGTGTCAATTGTTACTAAACCAACAAGACGCAAAACTGTCTTAGACTTGGTTTTGTGAGTGGAGATTTCATGATAATGAGGGCATGCAAGGATGATGCATCCACCAGAAGTACAACACAGCTCCATACGAGAGTCATCAGACTAGAGCCACTTACTCAGAAAAAAATTTGAAGGAGGAGATGACAAATCTCAGAAATCAAGGGTGTGGAAGAGCAACTGTCTCTATGGATTAGTTATTTCAGGGTAAGAACAATGTGATTCCCAATTAAATTATGGGGCATTAGGTTTAAAACAGAACAAAAGAAAACACTTATCAGCTCAGAGTCTGAACTGTGACACCCACTAGTGCAGGATGGTGCAAAGATTAGAAACAAAACTGGCTTAGACAAATTTGGAGTTATTAAGCATAATGCTAAACATGCCCAGCAGTTCCCAAGGAGGACTGCACAAGGTCCTGAAACAGAAAGCCACGGGGAATTCATAAGCACACAGAAATACCATCTGGATCAGGAATTCCTTCAGGCACAGTGGCTGGAGGCTGGGAAAATGTCTGGGAGGGAAATCATACACACTTGTTCTGTTACAGTTCGCAGCAGGCATCTGCCTGTAGCTACCACTGCAGACGGGCTCCAGAGCTGGATGGATGCTTATTTAAAGTTTATACCACATTTACTCCAGCAGTTATGACCCTTTTAAACTGTGTCAATGGGAAGCTCCTTGGTGGAGACAGATGGTTGGTTCAGGGCATCTTAGCGGGAGGCCACTAATGTGGGGAAGCGATGGAAAAGTCAAGCAGAATCCCAAGAAGTGTCAGGTGAAATATCTGCAGCTGCGGCAGAATTACTGCCTGGATGTCCTGCAAGGTTCCAGCCATGTTATCACCACGTACAGTTCTTGATGCTCACTTTAAAGAGTGACAAGTTACACTGCTGTAAATACAGGATCTCTGTCCTTCTGGGCATCCAAGGAAGCCTGACTGCAGAGAGGAGACAGGCACGGTTTGCACAGCCCAGTAAAACAAACGCTGTCTGTAAACACAATCCTTTTAAAATACTTTAGCAGACTAAATATAAGGGAGAGGGCTACTTATGCTTCTTTAAAAGCGGAGGGAAAAGTGGAACAAAGTAAGAATAACCTTGTCACAAATAACAGTAGACTGGAAAGTGAAAAGCTTCTATTTATCAGAAGAAACATGATCCTGCATCAATTTTCCAGGAGGAACACTCACAGAAATAACAACTAGTTCTCAGATGGATGGCTACAAACTCATCAGGGGGGCGGTAACACGCTTGACACAGGACCAAGGGCTAATCTCTTCTTAACTGTACCTGAAAATAGCTTCAAAAACAAAGTAACCACCATGTGGCACTCAGAATACATCTGCTAGAGAGAGCTGGATTCAACCCAGCATGTGAACAACCCCAACTCCAACCTGCAGCCATAAAATAATCCAGAATGGAAAGAGTCTTTGGGGGTCTTCTGCCAAAACCCCTGCTCAGAGGAAGGTGCTTCAAACCCAGATCAAATTGCTCACAGCTGAATGCAGCAGAGTTTTGAGTAACCCCAATGATGAAGATTCCACAAAGTCCTGGGGTGCCTGTTCCAACACTGTAACATTTCTCTGGGAAACATATTTTCCCTATATATATATACACACATATATACACATACATATATATAGATATAGATATACACACATATATATTTGCAGTCAGAATGCCCCGGTTCAAACCTAATTTCTTTTCATCCTATAATCCTGCAGCTCTGAGACAAGTCTGGCTCCATTGCCTCTATAGCTTCCCTTAGGGTAGTGGAGGACATCAAAGAGACCTCCCTGTCCATCCTCTCAAGACTAAACAAGCACTCCAGGTATCTTCAGTGTGGATAGTTTGGTTTGTATCAGCTCAACTGGACTCAGTTCATCACTTCCCATGTAGCTGAGATAAATGCAGCCTTAGAAACATTTTTTTGTGAACTTCATTGGATTTTTGGGGAGGGACTTTTTACAAGAGTATGGAGGGATAGGACAAGGAGTAAAGGCTTTAGGCTGGATTAGGGAGATTTAGGTTAGATGTTAAGAAGAAATTCTTTGCTGTGAGGGTGGTGAGAGCCTGGCCCAGGCTGCCCAGGGAAGCTGTGGCTGCCCCATCCCTGGCAGTGTTGAAGGGCAGGTTGGATGGGGCTTGGAGCAGCCTGGGCTCGTGGGAGGTGTCCCTGCCCATGCAGAGGGGTCAACTAGATGATCTTTAAGGTCCCTTTCAACACAAACCATTCCATGATTCTATGATCTGAGCTTCTCACAGATATGTACAGACACCTACCTGCTCACAAATGAATGGTCCCTACTCTCAGCAGGGCTGTAAATCTCACCTCTGTATTATCAAGCCATAGTGAAACAAGACCTTTCCTTGATACCAGAGGTCAGAATCAACTCTCACTTTAAAAGCAAACAGATCTAATGCATCAGGTTTCAGTTCTGTGATGTCTTGCTTTGGAGAGTTATAAGGACAGAACCTGCAGACCATAAACCTGCATCTGTTCTGCTACCAAAGCAAACTCTGCCTGCTGCCTCTTGGGCCAGATTGCAGATCTCTTCACCTACAGACATGAGCCAACAGAATGTTCTAACAGAACCTCTTCAAGGTCTGATGCTCACATATCCACTCCCACTACTGATTTACCTTGTTTCTTTACTTGTTCCAGAAGCAGGTCCTTCATGGCTGCTTCCTCCGCGATGTCAGAGGGGACGTCACCTTCGCTGTTCACAGCAGCCACGTTGGCTCCATGACTGATCAAGTACCTGGAAGGTGAGACCCAGACCCTGTTATCAGACCTTGTGTGAAGGATTCAGTGGAACTTACACAGTAGATCAAGTAGTAGAGCAAAATATTTGGCTCTCTCATTCAAGTTCAATTACCAAATGAGCACCTCTTAGCTTTTGTTTCTCTACAGTTATCAAAATACCCCCAATTCTTGCACTAATCTAATTGATTGTGCTTTTTTTTTTTAAATAAAAAGGAAACAAATAATAATAAATAAGCCAAGCCATCACCAGTTTTCAAATACATATTTTTATAACTACATCAAATGCTCATTCAAGAACAATTAATGTCTTCTTTGTCTCCTACATCTGTAACCAGTAAAATTCTGGGCAGTAAAAGAAGTATTTTTTTAAAAAAAAAAACAAATCTAGGAGGGTGAGGCTGCTGCATTTAAAATTTTTTTTCAATGCCTTTGATAAATAGTAATCACTATTCAAACTTTGGTAACTTTTGGGGAGCTGCAAAGCATAATATCATCTTTCATTGCAAGAACTAGTATTTAGGAAGAAGAAAAAATAAAGGAGGGTCTGAAGAATTTAGGAATTGTTCCAGGAAGAGCACAACACACAGAAGCCTTTTTTGTTGTTAGAATATATTGTAAAGGACTATGTTGAGAATTACATTTCTTTTCCCTTTTTTTTCTAACCTATAATGCAGCCTTTTATCTGAGAAAAATTATTTGAGGTGGGGAAACTGCCATTTACGTTTGTCTATTCTTTGGTTCCAGCTATTAGAGCACTCAAGGTCATATATATGAGCAACCATCAACCTCCCAGAGCAACTTGTTGGTGCACAGTGAGTAGTTTGGTATCAGTATCTTCTCTGGGACAGAATGCTAGTCCTTTGTAAGCATAATGAATGCTCAGATCAGATGCAAAATGTTACTTCAAACCCTGGAATGAGAAGAAAATCTTTGTTGGGAGCCACTTGGAGCAAGTTACTGCTTTGCTCTAAACATCTACTGGATTAAACTCAATTATATTTATTGTCTCTTCTTTCACATACCTTTTATGTTTGTACTCACTAGATTATCTTATCTCCCCATGGCAGGCCACAGAATTTCACCTGGTTATATCTAAACTGAGCCCAGTATCTTGTGTTGTAAACAAAACCAAAAAAATCAATACTCTTACTCTAAGTGGGTTAAGTAACAAGTAGCTATTTCTCTACCTCTCCATCTTTTGTCAGATAGTGTGAAAGAAGCAGAAACATCAGATTTGAATGTAAATAAAAAGTAACAACGCTCTTGGCATATTGATGACAGGGGAGCCCAGAAGATTGCACTTCTGTCTCCAGAGTCTGCACACAGCTGCAGTGCTGCTCACACAGGCCTGTCTGCTCAGGAAATGAAGCTGCTCTGCAGCCTCAGAACAAGCACTGGTGCAGTCCCATTTTGCACTGGTTTATAGCACACCACGTATCTGCTACCTGGTGTTTACACCAGAAGAGCTACATGGATGTCGTTACACCAACATCCATTGTGTACAGAGACAGAATTCCTCTCAGTTAGAGGAATAAAATCCCAAATTGTTCTTAGGTAACACAATTCCACACGGGCTCCCTGTGATGGAAGTGCAGCCTCACTACACGCCCTGTGTTGCTGTGCCTGCTGCCAGCCCTCCTGTCTCCCTGTTGCTTGGCATTTTAGCTGAAGTATCTAATGAATCATAAATCACTGTAATGGGATCAGCAAAAGGTGACCAGTTGCAGGCTCCATCTTAATCCTCACAAATTAAGAGTTCAGGAACAGGAGCAATGCACTTATTTCCAGCATTGCTCCCCCACATGCCGGGTGAGTCTCAGAGCACCTGAGAAGCTGCTCTGAAGGGGAAGATGTGGAAAGTGTTACAAATACCCAGAACAGCCCGAAACTCACTCACTCTGCTATGTTCAGATAGCCACACGATGCCACTGCATGAAGAGGGGTCCAGCCCTCATTATCTTGCTGGTTCACATTGGCTCCATTTTCTACAAGGAACTTCACCATGTCCAGGTTCTCATCTATACAGGCCTGAGGGAGAAGGGGAGAGGAGACATCCAGGGGAAGGGAGGGGTGGAGAGAAAAGGAAGAAGAATAAGAAATAACATGTTGGTGTTAAATCAATTGTACAACCTCTGTTTGCATTTTATTTGGAGCAGGTAATTCCTGGGCTGAACTGCCCACACTGTGAGCTAAGTGCACCTTAATAGTTCAGGTAGCTTGAAGTTGGGAACTAAAATGAATTAATTTCAGAACATTCAAAAATTAATTGTAACTCAGAGAGTCCCCAGATGGACAACCTCTAAATGTGCTCAAGTTTTACTTCTCACCAAGTGATCTGTTCCCTTCCTCTCTTCCACACTCTTATCTCCCTGGAGTTAGGACACATTTTAAAACAATATAACTGTATTAGCTTTAGGTACAGCATGAAATTCCTCTAATCAAGGAAGGCTATGGATTTATCTAGATTACATTGTTACGTCTAAATGGGAATTAAATAAAGTAATAACAACGAATATCACTAGTGGAAGGGATGAGCAGGGAAAGCAGGAACTCCAAAAGCCTGACCAAAGCAGACAATCTGTACCCTGGACGTTGCCCTTTACAGATGTAACCATAGCAAAAGCAGAACCTTAGAGAAGTTAGTAACCTCTTTATTCAGCAGTGCAAATTAATTTTCCTAAGTAAAACACAGTACAACCTTCCCTGGTAGCTCTACAGACCCCATGAGCTACCAAAGAGAATGTCAGACCTTTATTAGCCACTGTATTCCTTCCAGAGCCTGCACTTCCAGAGACCTGTCAGCTTTGAAGATGTCAGAAGAAAACCCAGCTAGACTTTCAAGTCTCAGCAGTTCTGTTGGGTGGAATTCCTCCTTCCACAAATTCCTGGCTACAGCATGTTCTGCATTGCATGTACAGTTCACTGGAAGCTGCTATTTAAGGATGAGCTGGCAATTTAATACCTACATCCAAGTGCATGTGTCTCAGCTGAGAAGCACCAAGCACAACCAGGAGGTGAAGGGACTGGATTTTACTGCTTGCCCATCCTCAGGCAGAAACCTGGGTCCTCATCACTAGAGAGGGAATCAGTTTGTTTGAAATTCCTCCAAAAATCAGTGCTGGATTCTATAGCTTGATGTGGGCACATCTATCACTTACAGCAGTCAGATGACTTCCAGAATTCCATTCTTCTAAAACAAGCAACACTGTCTAACCATGGAGGAAAGTGTCTTCAACAAACACCTCCTTCCAAAAGAAGAGACAATCCAATATTATCTAACATGTTCATCCATGCTGCATTGCTTATTTCAGAGGAGAGGATTGCCCTACACCAAGGGCATCAACCTCTTATTTCTACTGCAAGTGCAAATCCCAAACCAACCTTTCAACCCACAAACCCCAGCTACTCCTGTTTGCTGGGAACACAAGGAGCTGTGTGCTGACTGCTAGTACCATTACTTGGCAAATCACAGAATGGTTTGGGTGGGAATGGACATTAAAGATCACCCAGATCCAACCACCCTGCATGGGCAGGGACACCTCCCACCAGCCCAGGCTGCTCCAAGCCCCATCCAACCTGCCCTTCAACACCCCCAGGGATGGGGCAGCCACAGCTTCCCTGGGCAGCCTGGGCCAGGCTCTCACCACCCTCACACCAAAGAATTCCCTCCTCATCTCCAACCTCCATCTCCCTCTCCCACTTTTCATCCATCCCCCTCATCCCATCCCTCCCTGCCCTTGTCCCAAGTCCCTCCCCAGCTTTCCTGGAGCCCCTTCAGGCACTGGAAGCTGCTCTAAGGTCTCCCTGGAGCCTTCTCTTCTCCAGGCTGAACCCCCCAACTCTCCCAGCCTGTCTCCACAGCAGAACTGTTCTAGCTCTTGGATCATATCCATGGCCTCCTCTGGACTCTGTGGAGTCCATGTCCTTCTTATGTTGGGGTCTCCAGAACTGGACAGAGTTCTCCAGGTGGGGGTTTCACAAGAGCTGAGTAAAGGGGGACAATCCCCTCCCTGGCCCTGCTGGTCCCTCTGCTGGTGACACAGCCTACGACATGGTTGGCTTCTGGGCTCCAGCACATGGTGTCAGCACATGTTGAGCTTCTCATCCACCATCACCCCCAAGTCCTTCTCCTCAGGGCTGTTTTCCATCTATTCTCCCCCCAGCCTGTATTTGTTCTTGGGATTGCCCCGACCCAGGCACAGAAGCTTGCACTTGGCTTTGTTGAGCTTCATGCAGTTTGCACAAGCCCGCTTCTCAAGCCTGTCAAGGTCCCTTTGGATGCCATCCCTCCCCTCCAGCCTGTCACCTCACCACCCAGCAGGGTACACCCAAGGCACTAGGAAAAGCTGCCCTGGGAGCAGACCCAAGTACCCAAGTCCAGACTGTGTCCAGGCTGAAGTGTTAGCCCACTTCCTTGCTGGCTTAGACTGTTTTAATCTTACTCTGTGCCACAAAAACTCAAGCATAATTCTAGAAATAGTTCCCATCAGGGACTGCTCCAACCACAGAATGGATGAGACTGCCCCTGGGTTGTCTTCATCCAACCTGCCCAGTCCATCAAAACCCTCCCATGCTCAGGCACCAAACAGCTTCACCCCAGCTGTGGGGCAGCTCCCTCCAATTATTTCAGGCCCTTGAACTGGAAAAAATCCAGCAACCTAAACCAAACCTACTGGGGACTGAAGAGCATCACACAGAGGTCAGAGGATTCCCAGGTCCAAGCACAATGGCATAAGATGTGCTTAGGTCTGGGCAAAGTGAATGCAAACCAGGTTATCCCACCTGCCTCAGGAACAAGGTTTGTTTCCTGCGTCCTCTTTTATTTAAATTATCTGTTGCAACCCCCCCCCTCCCCCCAAAGCTGGGCTGAATCACATGGTCCATCAGGTTGCTCAGGGGCTGCTCCAGCCAGTTTTTACCATCTGCAAGGATGGAAACTCCACAGCCAGTCTGGGCTCCTGGCCTAGCGCTTCACCATCCTTGAGGTAATTTTTCTTGCAATATAATCAGAATTTCTCTAGCAGCAGTTTATACCTCCTGCTGCAGGAGTAGCCATCCCTCTGCACCTCAGCAGGTGATAAGAGTAGGCAACACCAGCCAAACATTCCTGGTGTACAGGGGAACTAATGAGTGCCCATTATGCTCATGATTAATTATCAGATTATTCTAGAAGGGATACACTCCTGATTTCCCTAATCCTGCAAACTATGCAAACAAATTTGTTAGTGGCTGATGTACATAACATTGCATTCAAATGCAGTAGGAAGGTCAAGTATGCAATACACACAGAACTGGACATGGATACACAGAGGAACATAATAAACCCTTTTCAGCTCAAGGAGTAATTTTTGGGGGGGGATTCGAGTCTGCAAAACTCAGAGCTAGTCTGTATTTTACTGCCCCCAATATTTATTACAGTATATTAAATTTTTTCCCAGCATGCCTCAAACAAATGACACTTACAATCTTATTGATGAGCTCTTCATTTTTTGACCTGGGAACACAACCATTGCATCTCACTTTGGAAATAAACTTGACTTCATCTAAAAGCATATTGCTCCCAGAATAGCCAAGAAAGATTCACCCACGCAGTGGTTTCTTCTGAGCACAATCACTTCTGCCTGATTAAAGAATTATAACCTCAAAAAAAGAATTTTATCAGCATGGCTCTGACAAAGCAGCGAGGTAGACGTTCCATGTCTGTGCACACTTACTGTATTTGAGTATTACTGGCAGTTTGAGTGGAAATCTAAATTTAGACTCAAGAATGTCTCTATATTGTGAGCTCTGTATGTATTTGATAGATAATTATATTTACATTGTTTATCATTTAAACTCCCCAAATACACCCACTACAGCTGCACATACCAGGAACTGGCCAAGAGAAAACACCAGTTCTTGCTGAAGGCACTGGATATACTGGACTCTAAAATTAAATATCTGTTCAGATGTATTAAGGACCCACTCCCCCAGGACCCCCCCTTCTTTTAAATTTATGCCTGTTATTGGCTTCATTGTGCTGGTCCCCATCTCATGTACTTCCTATGGAATGCATGCTAGAAACAGAAGGGATAATGGGATCAAACCCCACCTGTTCCTACAGAGAACCCTGCAGTAATCTGACTCGCCTGGCTTCTGAGGAGATACAACAATGACAAAGTGACAAAGCTACATGGGTGCTGACAACAGCAGGCACTCGCCCACTGCCCCAGGGGAACCATAACTCATTCCATGCTTTGCTGTTTGCATTTGCCACCAAGAGAAAGTCAGGTGCAAAGGAGTATTAAGTCCTTAATGGAGCAGCAACATATTCTTCACTATCTAAGAAAAATAACCCTCACTCCACCCTTCTGCACCTACATAGCACGAAAAGCTGCTGTTGAAGTTATCTGATCAAGCAATGTGACACTGCTTGCCAAATATTTATTTTAGTATTGGTTAGTGACACACAAGAATAGAAATGAGCACAGAGTTGAGCAACATGTACAGTTTTTTAAATGACTGGAGGCTGCCTTAACATTACCAGGCACAACTGCTGGCCTGTCTCAGATAGTGAATTGCAAGATTTTTAAATATATTTTTTCTATTTTTATAATATTACATCATGCTAATTATTTTGGCCAAGATTTTAAAAAGTGAGGTGGAGAAGGAGTTTCAGAAAATAGCATTGAACAAACAGAGGCGCTGAACAACTTCTGTTCCATGCTAGAAACCACCAGGCACAGGATTATTTGCATCATTTTTTAGTCAGACACCCTAAAAGAAAACACTGCTTGCATCTTCATGTGCTATGACATATTTAACACATCTCAGAGAAATGGTTATTTCTCAAGATCTCCTAAACCTTAAGATCTTCAGAAAACATGTATAAAAGTGATGACAGATTAAAAGGCAGCTATTAGGGCTTGCAGTGGATTTCTGTTTGTACTTTCAAAGTATCAACCCATTAACACTCGTACATTATCACAGAACTCACACACATCAGTGGTGTTAATAGTTTCATACATGACATCATTTTACCAAGCTACAAATTAAAAAACAGAAATTCTCCCTGTTTAGAAGCACTCAGGGCAAACATCTCAAATCCTTGGGAGCCCTGACTGCTGCCACCCCTCCAGAAAATCTCTGCTGTTTTATTGTGTGTATCTGCCCAAACTCAGCACTGTGAAACACCACATAAGAAAGAAGCATTCACTGAGATTCAGAGGGTAAAAATTCATCTTTTGGCTAAGCAAAACAGGTTACCTGAGGTTACTGAAGGAAGGAGAAGAGGACAAAGAGGAAGTAAAAGGGATAGATGTGACCTCCTTTAAGTACTATTAATCCTCCAACCTTAAATTTAGGAGAGTGGATAAGCGTAGTAACCCGAGAGGATCTATCGCTATGCAAAGTTCTCCTCTTTTATAGGATACAGTGATCCTGAGGAACAGGGTAGGAATAACTAATATCAGGCTGCAATGTTACAAAGCAGACACCTGCCCCTCCAACCCCCAAAGGGAGGATAGAAACTCAAAAGAAGTTGGTTGAGAAGTTAACACTGCCTTTTGGGTGGGTAGATATTTCATGTGAGGAAACACTCTCCTGGAAATCTGCTTTGCCTGAAGAAAAATCCCTGCATGGATAGGCTTAACTCCTTCCACTGTAGGCACTGCCAACCCTCAGCTGCCTGGTTCCACGTGTAGAGGAGACTAAATGCCAAGTTAACTAGCACTTCTGTGTCTACATTTTCAGTTCTTTCTTTATCTTCTTTCTCTGCAGGAGATACAATCAAGGCAACACGACAGGGTGGGAGCACATGGTGACTATCGGTCCCTCTCATCAGAGATCTGCAGCAGGCTCATCTCTTGCCATCCTTGCCTTTTTCTTGGCAGTCAGTTCAGCTCCAAGTGCTGCTGGAACAGCACTCATGTATTACAGTTTTAGCAGTCTTTGATGCAAACTGCATCCAGTGCCCAGACTCACCCACTAACCACTCAAA